GGAACTTCTGCTCTGTTCCTAGTTTGCTGAAAACTTTTTATCACTAATGGGTGATGCATTTTATCAAATGCTTTTTTATGTCTATGGAAGTGACATATGATTTTTCTCCTTTATTTTGTTAATATCATGAATTCCATTCATTCATTTTATTTTAATATCATACTAACCTATTCAAGAACTTTTGGTCTTGATATGTTATCCTTTCTTATATTATCTTACATTTAATTTGCTAATATTTTGCTAAGCATTTTTGTGACTATGCTTATGAGGTATATAATTCTTTTATAATATCTTTGTCAGGTTTTGATATCAAAGTTGTGCTGACCCAGTAAAGTGAGATAGGAAATGATGTTCTGATCTATTGTGGAAGAATTTGTGTAATATTGGTTATTATTTTTGTCCTTAAAAGTTCCATAGAATTCCCAGTGAGCCATTTGGTCTTGGTATTTCTTTGAGTCGAGGATAGATATAGAGCTATTGGGATTTTATATTTCTTCTTGTGTCAATTTTTATTTTTATTAGAATTTTCAAAGAATATGTCTGTTTCATGCAAATTATTTAATATATTGGCGTAAGGTTGTTCACAGTGTTCCCTTATTTTCCTTTTAACGTCTGTAGTTGTTGCAGCAGAATGCCCTGTTTCATCTTGATACAAATAGCTTCTGTTAGCCTTCTCTTTCTTTCAATTAGTCTTGCAAGGAGTTCATCAATTTTATTAGTCTTTTTAAGAACCAACTTTTGTTTTTATTTATTTTCTCAACTATTTGTCTGCTTTCTGTTTTATTGATTTCTAATCTTTATTATTTTCTTCCTCTTACTTATGTTTGATTTCACTTGCTCTTCTTTTCAGGCTTCTGAAGGTGGAATATTAGGTCATTGGTTTTAAGTATTTCCTCTTTTCTAATATAAGCATTTAAAGCTATAAATTTGCCTCTAAGCACTGCTTTACCTTCATTCCACAATTTTTTGTGTATTTTAAATATTTTCTAGCTTTCTTCCTTTGACTTCTTAGGAAAATGTTTGGAATTTCTAAGTTTTCGGAGACTTTATAAATGTTATTATTATTGATTTCTATTTTATGTCTCTGGTGGTCATTGTTGGTGTTGTTGTTAGGTGCTGTCAAATCGGTTCCAACTCATAGTGACCCTGTGTACAACAGAACGGAACACTGCCTGGTCCTGCGCCATCCTCACAATCGTTGCTATGCTTGAGCCCGTTGTTGCAGCCATTGTGTCAATCCATCCAGCTGAGGGTCTTCCTCTTTTTCACTAACCCTCTACTTTACCAAGCATGATGTCCTTCTCCAGGGACTGATCCCTCCTGATAACATGTCCAAACTATGTGGGAGAAAGTCTCACCATCCTCACTTCTAAGGAGCACTCTGGCTGTACTTCTTTCAAGATGGATTTGTTTGTTCTTCTGGCAGTCCATGATATATTCAGTATTCTTTGCTGATACCTGAATTCAAATGCCTCAGTTCTTCTTCAGTCTTCCTTATTCATTGTCCAGCTTTTGCAAACATATAAAACAATTGAAAATACCACGGCTTGGGTCAGGTTCACCTTAGTCTTCAAGGTGACATTTTTGCTTTTTAACACTTTAAAGAAGTCATAGAACATATGTTAAGACTCAGTTTTTTGAAATTTACTGAAACTTGTTTTATGGTTCAGAATATGGTCTTTTTTAGTGCATTTGAAAAGAGTGTGTACTCTGCAGTTTTTTTTTTTTTTGAATGTGTTTCCCATAAATATCAATAGGTCAAAATGATTAAAAATGACACTTAAATATTCTGTATCTTTATAGGTATTTTTTCTAATTGTTCTATCAATTACTGAAAGAGATGGTAAAAATATCTAACCAGGATTATAGATTTGTCTATTTATTCCTTCAGTTCCCCTCCCCCCGAGTTTTTGTTTCATGTATTTTGAAACTCTGTTATTAGGAGCACATACACTCAAGTTTGTTACGTCTTTGTGATTGAATGACCTTTTTATCATTCTGAAATGAACATGGGGCCACTGTGTGTCAAAGCTAACTGAGCAGCTACTAACAACAACAACAGCAAATCTGCATCTCAGGTAACAGTTCTTGCCTTGAAATCTACGTATCTGATATTGATATGGCCACATCAGCTTTCTGATGCTTACTGTTTGTATGTTATATATTTTTCCATTCTTTTGCTTTCAACATATATGGATTTTTAAATATGTGAAGTGTATTTATCATGTTGTTATTGGGTGCTGTTGAGTCAGTTCTGACTCGTAGCAACCCTGTGTGCAGCAGAGCTAAACACTGCCCAGTCCTGCACCATCCTCACAATCCTTGCTGTGTTTGAGCCCATTGTAGCCACTGTGTCAATCCATCTCATTGAGGGTCTTCTTCTTTTTCTCTGACCTTTTACTATACCAAGCATGATGTCCTTCTCCAGGGACTGGTCCCTCCTGGTAACATGTCCAAAGTATGTGAGACTAAGTCTCATCATCACTGCTTCTAAGAAGCATTCTGGCTGTCCTTTTTCCAACACAGATTTGTTCATTCTTTTATCAGTCCATGGTATATTTAATATTCTTTGCCAACACAACTCAAAGGCATCAGTTCTTCTTCGGTCTTTCTTATTCATCGTCCAACTTTCACATGCATGTGAAGCAATTGAAAACACCATGGCTTGGGTCAGCCACACCTTAGTCCTCAAAGTGACACCTTTGCTTTCTAATACTTTAAAGAGGTCTTTTGCAGCAGATTTGCCCAATGCAATGCATCATTTGATTTCTTGACTGCTGTTTCCATGGGCATTGATTGTGGATCCAAGTAAAATGAAATCCTTGACAACTTCAATATTTTATCTATTTGTCATGATGTTGCTTACTGATCCAGTTGTGAGGACTTCTGTTTTCTTTATGTTGAGGCGTAATCCATACTGAAGTCTTTGATCTTCATCAGTAAGTGCTTCAAGTCCTCTTCACTTTCAGCAAGCAAGGTTGTGTCATCTGCATATTGAAGGTTGTTAATGAGTCTTCCTTCAATCCTGATGCCGCCTTCTTCTTCATATAATCCACCTTCTGGGATTGTTTGCTCAGCATACAGATTGAATAAGTATGGTGAAAGGGTACAACCCTGATGCACACCTTTCCTAATTTTAAACCAATCAGTATCCCCTTGTTCTGTTTGAATGACTGACTCTTGGTCTAAGTACAAATTCCTCATGAGCACAATTAAGTGTTTTTGAATTTCTTGTGTTATTTTTAAAGCTCTCTATTGTATCTTTAGCTTTTGATTGTCTTATTTCTTAATATAAAAAGTTGGTTTTATATTTTCTGTTGTTTAACAAGAAAGGAGCCCTGGTGGCGCAGTGGTTAAGTGCTCGGCTGCTAACCGAAAAGTCGGCGGTCTGAACCCACCAGCTGCTCTGCAGGAAAAAGAAGGTTGACAGCCTTGGAAACCATATGGGGCAGTTCTACTCTGTCCTATATGGTCACTATGAGTCAGAATCAAATTGATCACAATTTTTTTTTTTAATCTAACAAGAGGTTTGTCAATTTTGTTAGTCTTAAACAAAAAGACAACGTTGAATCTGGTATTGTTGATTATCTCCATTGTTATTCTTATGTCACTGATTTCTGCCTTGGGTGAATTGTTACAGGAATGAGGCTGGGAGTCAGGGCTGGTCGCACCTTCTAGACTTGTCCATCCTTTCCATGTGACTGCAAGTAGAATGAGGACTTGAGAAGTCAAAAGGAGGGAATGGTTTGAAGGGGGATGGAGAAAAGTAATCCAAGGACAAGTAAACACTAAGACATGAAAGTTACACTGATTTGTAGTCCTTAAGAACAGAAGACTTTTAATATTGGCTTGATTGTCCATTCTGTGGCCATTGAGGTGAACTGAGCTCTTACTGTGAAGTGAACTGACCTCTTACTGTGAAATGAACTGAGCTCTTACTGTGAAGTGAACTGACCTCTTACTGTGAAATGAACTGAGCTCTTACTGTGAAATGAACTGAGCACTTCCTGTGAAGGGAACTGAGCTCTTACTACATTTGATTTTGATCCTCAAAGCTGCTTTACTTTCGATGATGTGTTTAATTAAAGCACTTAATACTATTTTGTGTTTGATTAATCTCTACAGGTTAGAAATAGCTTGAGAAGGTTTTAAGTAAAAAGGAAAAGCTTGCTGTCTTAGATTGAATAGTGTCCCCCAAAAATATGTATCATCTTGGCTAGGCCATGATTCAAGACACCTGACTATGTTTGAAAATTAACCAACGATGGGCTACATATCAATATTTAAGAATTGTTGTTGTTGTTGTTAGGTGCCATGGAGTCAGTTCTGACTCACAGTGACGCCATGTACAACAGAACAAAACACTATCCGGCCCTGCACCATGCTCACAGTCGTTGCTATGCTTGAGCCCATTGTTGCAGCTCCTGGGTCAGTCCATCTCCTTGAGCATCTTCCTCTTTTTCGCAGACCCTCTATTTTACCAAACATGTTGTCCTTCTCCAGGGACTTGTCCCTCCTGATAACATGTTTGAAGTATGTGAGACTACATCTCACCATTTTTGCTTCTAAGGAGCATCCTGGTTGTACTTCTTCCAATTCTAATTTAAGAATTAGGTAAATATAATTTATAAGCTGTCTCAAACTATGTGCCTTATCTCTTTCATGTTCTCTTCATTCTGCTTACACTGGTTATTTCATGGAGGTGGATAATACCAATAAAAACCTGTGCATTACACTAACTTGATTAAATGCAGACTGAAAATACCTAAAAGTGAAAAGTGGTTGCCAGTGAGAAATTACAGCCTGCTCATGAAAAGTTTTGAATTTTCAGTTTATTTGTATTAATGGTTTATTCAGGTTTCCTGCTCTACTGAGTTCTACCAAATGTTAATATGTTTATCAAAGGCCCTTTGGTTACACATAATAGACTTGGGGTTTCTAGCTTTCTTAAGTAACTCAGGCATTAACGCCTTGTTCCCTTTGGACTCTTGCTTTTCTAGGCTGCCCTGCAGGTTGGGGGCCACGGGGAGCGGCTGCACCAGTGCCGGGAAGTCATGCTTCTGACTTACAAATCCATCCCCATGCAAGTAGATGGGGAGCCCTGCAGGTTGGCCCCGGCTATGATCCGGATCTCCTTGAGGAATCAGGCCAACATGGTACAGAAGAGCAAGCGGAGGACCTCCATGCCTTTACTCAATGAGTGAGTCAGCTTTTTGCCCACCTTTGTCAACATGGTGGCCTTGGGGAAGAGAACGTGGAGCATGTGCATGGTCTGGGGACCTCACTGTATTGGGAAGAGGGAGACCGTCCAGGAAACTCAACAGTTTCTTGGTCTTTCTCGTGGGAATATATCTCTCTATGTTTCTTCTTCATGTTTATTGTACAGTTACAACACCCTTCTCTTGAAATTACTGTATGCTAGAGAGATGGTTCTTCTTCACCAGCCACTTAAGTATATACCTGCTAGGACTATCAGAGACCCATTAGAAGTGAGTCCCTAAAGTGTGTCTAGATAGATGTGCTTTAAAAAGGCATGTTGTAAGCCTCCTGTCTGTCCAGCTCACTTGGAGAGTGGTGACTCCCCCAGTGGCAGGCGATTGCATCCCCTCTTGCGTGTTAGCGAATTGCCCCTTTCCTTATGCCCCCATTTTGGGGTCCTGTCTGCTGTAGCCCTTCTATACAGTTTTACCTTTCTGTGTAGCATCCTATTGTCCAGACTTAACCTGGCCCGTTACTACGTGTACCCCTAAACAAAATGTGTCCCTCCTGGACTCTTTCCTTTCTCCGAAAAAAAAAAAAAAACAAAAACAAAAAACCAAACCTGTTGTCACTGAGTTGATTCCAACTCACAGAGACCCTATATGACAGAATAGAACTGCCCATAGGGTTTCGAAGGAGCAGCTGGTGGATATGAACTGCTGACCTTTTAGTTAGCAGTCAAGCTCTTAACCACTGAGCCACCAGGGCTGCTTTCTTAGGCAGTTTGTAAAATGATTTGACATAAGGTGGTCATGATTAGAGTTTTAGATAATACATATTCAATTTATAGGGTATCGTGCCTTAATCCAATCAGTGATTGAAATGTCTATTTCGGGTTGGAAAGGGGATGCAGAAAGATGGGGATTTGGGGCATTTTTTGAGTATTTTCTATGTATCATGTGCATATGCCTAATCTGACTCAAGGTAAGGCCATTTCAGGGCTCAGCTTTGGGTCAGCCTGTCACAGTGAGGGACCCTCAAAGGTGCTCCCCCGTTTGTGCCTGTGATGCATGGGTAGCGATTTGTGCCGGCCGGCTGGCTTCCTTGTAGCGCCTGTGAAGCACGGGCATGCTTGCCATGCAGTTACGGCGTCAGTATGACAGTCTACTGAAGCTCCTAGAATAAACCAGTGACACAGGTGCCATAAATTGCTGCCCAGACTTTACGCCACCTCTGTTTCCCTTGGGGCACATGTCGAGGACCAGCCCTAACTGGTGTCCCAGTTTTTGGTGTCGGTTTCAAAGTCTGATGCTGAGGTGGGAGAGCCTCTCCCTCCTCTGCCTCCTTTTCTCCCAGAGCAACTCTGGACCTCCTCGACACTTTCTTGGGAGGGGTTACTTAGTTAGAGTTCTTTTTTTTCGTCCGCGTTTTTGCAGCTTGTGAAATGCTTCGCTCATTCCTGATGCCTTCCTTTCTCTCTGCCCTGACCTTCTATTGGATTGAATATATAATTGCTGTGTTTATAAGTCTAAAAATGCGGGGGAGGAGGATGACAACAATTGTATATGGTTCATCAGCTTCCCTAGAACCTCGAGAGCAAAGCACTGAACTGCTGGTTTGGGAAATACGAAATTCTTTTCAGGTGTTTAGTTCCAAACAGCTCTTGCCTTTGAGAAAGAATTTGTATTAGCTCGGTAACCAAATTGTTGAGATTTGGGCTTTCTTCACATATAAAACCAAATATAAATAGTTGTTTTATTTTCGTGCTCATGGCACATGTAACATGATGGAACTCCATGCAGGTGTTCACAAATATGCAGTTCCTTACCACCAGGGGGCAGTGGTGCCTCCATCCAGGCAGCCTCAGGCCAGGGAAAGAGCGCTGTGAAATGGCAGTAATGGTATGCTTTTTATTTTTTAAAGGAGCACTTATAAAACTTCAAAACTAGCAAATTTCTTAATTAGTGCTTATTATGAAAATTATCATTTAACACCAAGTGTTTAGAAAATTAATACAGATAACGCGCCTTCAAAGGAAGACAGCACCAAGTTACCATGTGATGGTAGGACACAATCTTACTTCCTCTCACCACTGCTCCTGTTCATCTCTGTGATCAGATTGCGTCTCTGTTTCACCAGAATCCTTGCTTTGAAATCTCATTTCTTCCTCTAGACTTCCTAGCGGAGCTCCAAGTCAAAAGGCAGCCTGGCCTTTAAGACTCTTCTTCAAGTTTTCTTCAACCTTCAGAGCCCTCCAAGCTTTTCTCTGTTTCAATCGTGGTTATGTGAAATTCACTATTCCATCCAAGGCAGAAAGAGATCATTGCAAGACATGTACTATTTCCTTCTCTTTGTTTTCCTCTCCTGTCCTCCCTCCCCTCCTCTTTTTCCCTTCCCTTTCCTTCCGTCTGTCCATCTTTTCTTATTTTTAACTGAGACTGACTGTTCCTTCTGCTTTATTTGCCTCTCTTCTCTCTTCCTCACTAAGGAAGAAAAGAGAGCCCGTTTTAAATGTCTTTAGAATTCTAGTTTTAAAACGTGTAGGTGCGTGTGTGTGTGTGTGTCCCAATCAGAAGATAGTAATTCTTCATTCCATCTTAATGAATACCTTCCTTTCACACACCATACAGTGTGAACATCTGAGATTTAAGCACTGCGGTTCCCTGGCCAGCTGGCTCCCTTTTCCCCTTGAATGTGGGTGTTCCTTGTGGATCTACCTTTCTCTGGAAGATCACCTCTACACCCCAGGCCTTCTTCTAAAAACTGAAGATCAGAATCAAACATCTTATTTGACATCTTTACCTGAATAACCCATAGGAACCCCAAACTGCCTGCTAGAAACTGCACCCACTGACTCTCTTCCGCTCGTTCTCCCTCCTCACCATCCACTGAGCCATTTATGTTCCCATTTTGTGTCACCAAGTCAAACATCTCCACTTTCACACACCCAATAGGCCAGCTACCGTTTCTTTGACATTTACCTTCTAGTTATTTCTCAAACCTTCAGAAATCACAGCAACTCTCTCCTATGCTAGTAATATGGCCTCAGTTCAAATTCATGCTCCCTCTCAGCCACATTGCTAAGGTGTGCTCCTTATTCACGTCCTGCTTCCAGCGTTGCTGCCCTGCATATAGTCTGTCTTTTCCTATATTCTGGTTAGAATGAATGACCTTCCCAGAATTGGAAAGCCTTACTCCCTGACATTGGTACCAGACATCGTTGATTTGTGCTTTGTTTACCCTCGTCTCCCCGTGCTGTGGAGATCGGTGCTGTTCCTGGAACTGTAGCCCATGGCTTACGCCCTCTTGTTTTTGCATTTCTGTTGCTCTTCCTGTAAGGCCCTCCTTAGCCCTTTCTCATCTGGCCAGCTCTTGCTCAGAGGTCAGGAATCCACTGACAGATCACTTTCCCTAAGAATCGTTTCCAATCTCCATGCAGGCGTTAGACACCCTCTGCTGTGTTCCTGTAGTGAGCTGGGGCCCCTTCGTGGCACCCTTGATCAGATAACAGCTTAACCACTGGTTTCACATCCCTCTGCTCTGCTCTGTGGGAGGTCCTGAGCTTTCCTTTAGGTTCCCCAGCGGTTGTCACAGTGCCTGAGAGTTATGGTCATGAGGTGAATAGGTGGCTTACTCATAGATCAGACTCTATGTCTGTTACATTTCCCAGCAATTATGCCAAAAATAACATTAAGTCTGTTGTTGATGTATACCAGCTAGTCGATTCCAACTCATAGCGACCCCATGCACCAGAGTAGAACTGTCCCGTAGGGTTTCCAAGGCTGTAATCTTTATGGAAGCAGGCTGCCATATCTTTTTCCCATGGAGCGGCTGGTGGGTTTGAACCACTGACCTTTTGGTCAGCAGCCGAGCACTTAACCATTGTGCCACATAAGTCTACCAAAAAAGAACCTTTGAAAAATCTAGTTAATATTAAAATAAGAGAGAAAATGTCTTGGTCACATTTTATGATAATAAGTAGAAGATATATATGTACTTGCGTAAGAATGGGTCACATGGATAGCTGCAAGGAATTCCATGAGAAAGAGTTAGGTGTTAGGCCTTGATGGAGCTGGTTGGCCTTCATTTATAAACAAATGTCCTGGCCTGGAATCCCGGTTGCTATCACTACATGCAGACTAAACGGGTAGGCCCCACAGTGTTCAGAGGTGCTCCACTGACACAGGAGCAGAGCTCGTTTTTTCATGGCTCATGGATCTACTCGTAACATGGACTCCAGTAAATATCCTCCCCCCAAAATAATAATAATAGAGGATTTTATCTAGATTTATGAGTCCCTGGGTGGTGCAGATGGCTGATGCACTCGGTTGCTAACTGAAAGGTTGGTGGTTTGAGTCCACCCAGAGGTACCTCAGAAGAAAGGTCTGGTGATCTACTGCCAAAAAATCAACCATTAAAAGCCCTACGAATCCCAGTTCTACTCTGACACACATGGGGTCGCCATGTGTTGGAGTAGACTCGAGGCAACTGGTTGATTTTATCTAGGTTTATATTCATATAATATTACCATCATAGCCAGAGAAATTTATGTTCTCTGTTTGAAAAGCACCTTTGCAGGAGATCAGAAACTCAAAATACCTCAGGCATCTTAGGATAACTGTTCCCCTGAGTTCACCAGTAATTAAGGCTGCGTTGTTAAAAATGGTCATCCACGGACAAGCTTTCTCGTTGGCAAACTTTGGATTGGACAACTGGATTCTGTCAGCCTGGGCTGCTGAGAAGTAGTGTTGGCTGCAGCTGGCATGCTTTGAGGACCACAGGGCAGGGAGCTCCTCCAGCAGGAGCTGACTCACGGGCAGCATTATCTAAGCATTTCTGTGCGCAAGAGAAAAGAGGGACCAAGGGGGCTGAGTCTGCCTTCACATGGTCCGAGAGAGCAGAGGGATGCAAAAGTGACAGGAAAATTGGGGGTAGTTTCCTAAATTCTAAATTTGGTCTTTTCCCAAAGCCACTGAGGATTCTCTCCATTATAAAGGAAGG